TCCGCTTCCATGTTCTACTCTGTCCTGGGATACATGGGCTTCCTGGGGATTGCCAGTTTCACCGTGGCTTTCTTTGCCAGGAAGTTACCTGACAGTTTCAATGAAGCCAAATTCATCACCTTCAGCATGTTGGTGTTTTGCAGTGTGTGGCTGTCCTTTGTTCCAGCATACCTGAGCTCGAAAGGAAAATACATGGTAGCTGTGGAGATCTTCTCCATCTTGTCCTCCAGTGCTGGGTTGCTGGGTTCTATTTTCTTCCCCAAATGCTATATCATTATTCTGAGGCCTGAGCTGAACAGCAAAGAACATTTAATAAGGAGATCATAGTTGTTGTTGTTTAAGTGGCATTGTCTCGGTACATAGGTACCTTGGGTTAAGAACTTAATTCGTTCCGGAGGTCCGTTCTTAACCTGAAACTGTTCTTAACCTGAGGTACCATTTTAGCTAATGTGGCCTCCCGCTGCCGCCGCGCCACCAGAACACAATTTCTGTTCTCACCCGGAAGCAAAGTTCTTAACCCGAGGTACTATTTCTGGGTTAGCAGAGTCTGAACCCGAAGCGTCTGTAACCTGAAGCGTCTGTAACCCGAGGTACCACTGTATTCTTCATTAATACATAGTTCACCAGACATGGCAAATTGGCCATGGAGATCATTACATCTTTGATTGACACCAGTTCTTCAAGCACTTAAAAAATAATAATTTGTTATTATATTAATGTAGAAAAGGTTCAAATTTGTATGAGAGTTTCTTTCATCTGTAAAATAAAGCTTTAACACATTAACCTTTGCAAAATAATATTTCTCAAAAGCACATTCTAGAGTTAAGATATTTGTTCACAGAATCTAAGACAGATTCTGAGCCAATTGCAGACACGGGCAAAATTTGGTCCAATGAGTGACAGGCATCCATATCAGATGAGGACAGAGCTGATATCTCAGACTTAAGAGCTTAACTTGAGTTTCATTTGAACCAGCAATGAGAACTAAATTGTGCATATCGATGCCTATCTGAATGTGCCATTGTATCCCATGAAATTCACAAGTAGAAGGCTGCTTCTCCTTTACTGGATTGGGAGAGAAATAGCCTTGGCTGGTTTCAATACTTCATACTGTGTTGAAACCTGTTCCCAAATTTCCTGGTTTTATGAGTCATCTGTGAAAAAGACTCTTGTCTTCTCCCCATTACTGTTTATAGTGTTCCCCTTGTAATTTCCCTTTTTAATTCAGAGCATTCCCACATACTTCATGCGAACAAACGGGTTTGGTTCTGAAAGTATACCAAAGAGGGGGTCACAAGGATCTTGGCTCATCACGACCCTTTGCAAATTCTGGTTTGTAGTCCTTTATCAATAATAATAACAGTAATTTATTTCTTGTACCCAGCCCATCTGACTGGGTTCCCCAAGCCACTCTGGGTGGCTTCCAACAGAATATAAGAGAATGCACAATACATCAAACATTAAAAGCTTCCTGATTCAGGGTTGCCTTCAGATGTTTATGGAAGGTCATATAAATGTTTATTTCTTTGACTGGGCAGGCACCAGTATGGATTAGGCCCTATGCCGGGTTCCCTAACTTCATTTTTTGCAGTGAGGGAACCGCCAGAAGGCCCTCAGAACTGGACTTCAGTGTCCAGGCTGAACGAAGGAGATGCTCCTTCGGGTATACAGGGCTGAGGCTGTTTAGGGCTTTAAAGGTCAGCACCAAAACTTTGAATTGTGCCAGATCTTTCAGGACCAATGTTACATGGTCCCAGTCACCAGTCTGGCTACCACATTCTGGATTAGTTGCAGTTTCCGAGTCACCTTCAAAGGTAGCGTCACATAGAGTGCATTGCAGTGGTCCAAGAAGGAGATAAACAAAGCATGTACCACCCTGGCGGGACAGTGCACAGATGATAGGGTCTTAGCCGGTGTACCAGATGGAGTTAGGTAGACAGCCACCCTGGGCAGAGAATCCACCTGTGTCTCCATGACACTTCTTTTCTACTAGAACTTAATATCAGATCACCCACGTCCACAAAGGCAAACGCCAGATCTAAGGCATGTCCATGGCTATGAGTAGGGCCAGACTGATTCAGGGACAGCCCCATGGAGGCCATGCTTTCATTGAAGACCCGAGCGGTCCCTTGTAAGGCTGTGTCAGAATGGATGTTAAAATCCCCTAGGACCACCAGGCTAGGTGTCTCTGGGAGAACATCTGACACAACCTGAAGCACTTGCACAGTGTATCCTTGGTGCAGTGATGAGGCTGGTACACTAGCAGCAATCCAGTACTGCCTCTATTACATAGCTTCCATAACATGCACTAAGAAAACTGGGTCTCCCTAACAGGATGCCTGGTGAAAACTAATGACATATTAAATGTAACTGCAACCCCTGCTTCCTATCTACATGACCTAGGTTGCTGTGCATAGGTAAGGTTATCCAACTTCCAAGTAAAAACCAGAACACCCCAAAATTGTTGAGTGAATTGTTCTACGAAAACACCAGAAAAGATCCCCCTGGACATCACTTCCACCTTGGAAATCCTGGTAATTTCCAGGAAAATCTGGACCTGTGGTAGCCTTATGCATAGGAGAAACTTGTTGGGCAAGCAGTAGCAAGAACAGGCCCAGCTGCCATGTCCAACCACATTCATGTTACACCTGAGAGGTCAATTTCCCCATCCATGATCAAGTCATGGGTGACACTTTAAGGAACACCCTTGTTGATATGTGTGTCCTTCTTGCCAGGATCAGTCCCAGGGGCAGGAATAATCTTCAGACATCAACTGAGCCTGCCTCCTCAGAAATGACATGGTCTGATCCTCAAGCAGTTCCTCCTCCTGCCCATGATCACTGACATCAGGTGTCCCAATGCATCCCCCATAGTGGAACCTGATCATATTGATAAGTTCAAGTGGTTACTTAGAAACCCTTAATTGTACACCTGATTATGTAATGTGGATATCAAGTTCAGCACAAGGACACAGTCTGTATTGAGCTAACAAAGGACAATAAAGACATTTCTCATTGCTGTTCCATTTCAAAGATGCACCAGCCCATTCTGGCCTTGGCAATTGCTGTAAAGGAGATTGAGAAGAATTGCCAAACATCACTATAGGATTCCACATTATCAATGGCTGTTACATTGCAAAGATAAAGCCATCCTGAACCGGCTTTGTAGATCGCAAAGGGTTGTCCCCCATTTCATCTGTGTTTCTCAGAAACAATTAATTGCTGTCTTGGGAGGATATGTGACTGAAGCTTCAGCCTTTATGGCCAATATTGTTGCCATCTCCAAGATTCCACAGGTAGGTCATTATCAAGAGTATACAAAAACTTAATGAGACATAATTTGAATTTAAAAAAAAAATGTTTTTGGTGAATTTTCATTTTTCACATCACACATAAAACATTTTAAATGTATATTTTTAATCCACTGGAATTGTTATGTTATGTTATGTTTTATGTTATGTTATGTTATTATAAATATACCACCCTTCCTCTCAAGGGAGCCCAAGGTGGCAAAGAACAAGTGATAAAACAACAAAACCTCATATGGGGATCAAACCTACAACCTTTCCTTTATCAGCACCATGCTCTAATCATCTAATTGATATTTAATTGAAATATTTTCATTTATAAAGGAATAAAATGATAAAAGAAAATAAAAGAAATGTGGAGAGAGAAAAGAGAGACCGAGAGACCAAGAGAAAGAGAGAAACATTCAATATGTGCAATGTAACACATTAACTAAAGTCATTTTCACTGCTACAGATTTTAAATGGTAGCAGTGTGTTGCCATTGCCTCATGTTTTCTGCTTGACCCACCCAAGTGTCTTTCCACTTTCCCGACTCCTTCCTCAGAGAAAACCCACTCTTTATTGCTAAATCAGAGCAAACGTCATACCAGAAAAACCCCAAATTTCTGTTTGCTCCTGACAACTGCTAAAGCACATTTATATCCTTCTGATGAATATTGTGTGGCAAATACCTAAATTTGTGTTAAAAATTATATTACATATGAACAAAACACTCATAACAACATCAGAACTAATTCTGAATCACTTAAACCAAAATGCCTTCAAAGAACTTTAGAAATTTGACTTGTCTCAGGATGTAATTATGTTCCTGATCAATTGAATTTTATTACAGCAGAATACAGGGACCAGCTTATATTGTTTACTTTTCTTTATTAAATGTTCCTTGTTGTTCAGCTCGGGCCTAAGGATAATGATGTAGCAATTAGGGGAAAAAATGCAACCCAGCAATCCAGCACTGGAGCATAAGATGGAGAAGATCTCCACAGCCACTGTGTATTTCCCTTTGGTGCTCAGGTACGTTGGAATAAAGGACAGCCACACACTGCAAAACACCAACATGCTGAAAGTGATGAACTTGGCTTCATTGAAACTGCCAGGCAACTTCCTGGCAAAGTAAGCTACAGTTAAGCTGGCAATAGCCAGGAAGCCCATGTATCCCAAGACGCAGTAAAACATGGAGGCTGACCCCTCATTACATTGCATGATGATTTCCTCTTTCAGGGAGTTCATGTCCTTATCTGGGAATGGGGGAGAAGTAATCAGCCAAACCATGCAAATGACTGCTTGAATAAATGAGCCAGAAAGGACAATGGAATTGGCCAGTCCTTTCCCCAGCCACTGTCTCATTCTGGATCCTGGTTTTGTGGCCATGAATGCCAGAACCACTGTGATGGTTTTTGCCAAAACAGAAGAAAGGGAAAGAGAGAAGATGATGCCAAAAGCCATTTGTCGGAGAAGACAGGTTGCCTTTCCAGGCTGCCCAATGAAGAGGAAGGAGCAGAGGAAGCAAAGCAGGAGGGAAATGAGGAGAACGTAGGTGAGGGTCCAGTTGTTGGCTTTGACTATCGGCGTGTCCCTGTGCTTCATGAAAGTTCCAAGTACTAAAATTGTGATCAAAGAGAAAGAAAAAGCCAGCAGAGTCAGGGTGATTCCTAAAGGTTCTTTGTAGGAGAGGAATGTGTAAAACTTGGGAATGCAATGATTTTGGTTGTAGTTTGGATACTGATCTGCTTTACATTTGATACAGGTATCCATGTCTGAAAAATAAAGGAAAGATGCTTAAATATTTCAAGACTTTGATTCATGTACAGCTGTACCTCTGGTTGCGGATGGGATCCGTTCTGGAGGTCAGGACAGATCTAGAGGTTTCTGCAACCTGAGGACCGCTTCTGTGCATGCGCTTGTGGCAAAACCTGGTCAAATACCTCTGGGTTTGCCGCTTTCACATCCAGAAGTTTATGTAACCAGAGGGTTACATAACCAGAGGTACTACTGTATTCTATAGTGATCAACCCAACCCCTCATGGACAGGATTTGACCACTGGGTGGGAGGACACAAGAAAGCACAGGAAACTTTTCCAACAAGAAGACATAGGTACTTGCCATTTATTTTCCTTCCAGCAAAGCTCCATTCCCCAAATACAAAGCAATAGTAACAGGACTAAATAAAACTGACTAGCACTTTCTTTGTCAGCCAATCCAATGCATCCTTGCTCCAAAGATCCCTCACTGGTCAAATGAGTAACAACAAGGGGGGGGGCAGTTAGAAAGGAAGCTAGCTGGCAAACCCCCTGTCTAGCTCTCAGCAGGATGTGGCCTTCTTGGTAGCTGAGTAGGTGGCTTTCCAAAGAAACATATCTGGGCATGCTCAGAACTGAAGAATGAGTCTGATTTGTCTTACTAGGACTTCAGATTCAATGCCCAGTCTCCTTGGGTAATGTTAATTTGTGTTGGATGTCAATTCTGAACTGCAGGACCTGGTCTATTGAAGTAAGTGAAAAGGAAGGTATAATAATAATAATAATAATGATAATAATAATAATAATAATAATAATAATAATAATAATAATAAATTTTATTTATATCCCGCCCTCCCCAGCCGAAGCCGGGCTCAGGGCGGCTAACAACAATAAAACAGTACAAAAGTACAGCACAAACAACACTCTAAAATCATTCATTATAAAATTAATTAATTCAAGCCACTGGCAACCATTGGGCCAGAGCTCCGCGAAGATTGCCGAGGGAGGGAGTCAGACTGTGCCCTGGCCAAAGGCCTGGTGGAACAGCTCTGTCTTGCAGGCCCTGCGGAAAGATGTCAGGTCCTGCAGGGCCCTAGTCTCTTGTGACAGAGCGTTCCACCAGATCGGAGCCGCAGCCGAAAAAGCCCTGGCTCTAGTTGAGGCCAGCCTAACTTCTCTGTGGCCTGGGACCTTCAAGATGTTTTTATTTGAAGACCGTAGGTTCCTCTGTGGGGCATACCAGGAGAGGCGGTCCCGTAGGTACGAGGGTCCTAGGCCATATAGGACTTTAAAGGTTAAAACCAGCACCTTAAACCTGATCCTGTACTCCACCGGGAGCCAGTGCAGCTGGTATAGCACCGGATGAATGTGATCTCGCAGCGAAGACCCCGTAAGGAGTCTCGCTGCAGCATTCTGCACCCGCTGGAGTTTCTGGGTCAGTCTCAAGGGCAGCCCCACGTAGAGTGAGTTACAATAATCCAGTCTGGAGGTGACCGTCGCGTGGATCACAGTGGCTAGGTCAGGGCGAGAGAGGTAAGGAGCCAACTGCTTAGCTTGGCGGAGATGGAGAAATGCCGCCTTTGTTGTAGCTGCCATCTGCGCCTCCATGGAAAGGGAGGTGTCGAAGATTACACCCAAACTCTTAACGGAAGGTGCTGGCACTAATTGCGCCCCTGCAAGAGATGGGAGCTGCCCCCCCCAACCCCATATCGTCCCGTCCCAGCCAGAGGACCTCTGTCTTCGAAGGATTTAACTTCAACCGGCTCCCACGTAACCATCCAGCCACAGCTTCCAAACATCTGGTCAGTGTGTCTGGGGCTGAGTCAGGATGGCCATCCATCAACAGACAGAGTTGGGTGTCATCAGCATACTGATGGCAACCCAGCCCAAAACTCTGGACAAGCTCGGCGAGGGGGCGCATAAAGATGTTGAAAAGCATCGGGGAGAGTATCGCACCCTGAGGTACTCCACACACCAAGGAGTGGGGCAATGACAATTCCCCCCCAAGCGCCACCCTCTGTCCCCAACCAGAGAGAAACAAGCGCAGCCATTGAAGGACTGTGCCCTGGATCCCCACGTCGGCAAGGCGGTGGTCCAGAAGTTCGTGATTGACCATGTCGAAAGCTGCTGACAGATCTAGAAGAATCAGCAGCCCCGACCCATTTCGATCCAGCTGTCTACGAAGATCATCTGTTAGGGCAACCAGAGCCGTCTCGGTCCCATGACCAGCGCGGAAGCCGGACTGGAATGGATCCAGAGCCGATGTTTCATCCAGAAACCCACCAAGCTGTTCAGCAACCGCTCTTTCAATCACCTTACCCAGGAACGGAAGATTCGAAACTGGGCGGTAATTGGATAGATCTAAAGGATCTAATGATGTTTTCTTTAAGAGCGGGCGCACCACTGCCTCCTTCAGTTCCCCTGGGAATATCCCGGTACCAAGGGACAAATTGATGATATCCCCCAGGGGGGCCCGCACCTCGTCTGGACACGCTCTAATCAGCCAAGACGGGCATGGGTCAAGAGGACAGGTGGTGGGCTTTCCAGCTCGGAGGAGTCTGTCCACATCGGCTGGGGATATCCGGTCGAAGTGGTCCAATACTGGACCCGAGGACAGTCGAGGGGCCTCCAGTTCCTTTATTGTATCCAAATTGGCAGGGAGGTCATGGCAGAGCAGCAAGACCTTCTCCGCAAAAAAGCTCGCAAATGCCTCACAGCTGTGTGTCAAATTGTTATTTAAATTTGGCTGTCCCTCAAGGGACGTTAAAGACCTGATTATACTAAATAATTGCGCCGGGCGAGAGCTAGTAGATGCAATGGAGGCTGAGAAGTAAGACTTCTTAGCAGCCTTCACCGCCATCTCGTAGGTTTTCATAAAAGCCCTATAAGATGTTCTTGAGGCTCCATCACGGGCACCCCACCATACTCGCTCTAGCTGACTGAGGTCCCGCTTCATTTTCCGGAGCTCCTTGGTAAACCAGGGAGCCCGGTTTCTGCGGGGTTGCAGAGGGCGCTTAGGTGCGATCTCATCGATGGCTGCCAGGAGCTGGATATTCCAGCCCTCAACAAGCTCAGTCAATGAGTCGCCAGGGGGAGCAAGGTCCCGCAAGGCTTGGCGGAATCTATCAGGGTCCATCAGCCTCTGCGGGCGAGCCTCAAATCGGCTCGCCACCTAAGCAGGGTGGGGGTGGAAAGTCAATCCTGGCTTTCAGAGCGTAGTGATCAGACCATGGCACCTTCATCGAAGGAGACATGATCACATCTATACCTACACCAAAGATCAAATCCAGCGTGTGGCCTGCTTGGTGTGTGGGGCCCGAAACAAACTGGGAGAGCCCTAGTGTCGCCATGGAAGACACCAGGTCCAGAGCCTGTGAGAAGGGAGCGGCATCAGCATGGATGTTGAAGTCCCCCAATACCAATAGGTTAGGGAACTCCAAGGCCCAGCCGGCCACCGCCTCCAATAGGCCTGACAGGGTGGCTGCTGGTGCGCTAGGTGGCCGGTATACCAGCCACACAGCCAAGCTCTCCTCGGAGCCCCACACTAGGGGGGATCGATGGCGATGGTAGAGCCCTGAAAGAACAATCTTCCCGGATTAATAATGCCACCCCTCCCCCCCGGCCCACAGTCCGTGACTGGTGGAGGACGGAGAAACCCGGGGGCGCCATCTCTCGTAAGGTAACAGTTTCCCCTTCGTGCACCCAGGTCTCCGTCACACAAGCCAGGTCGACCCCCTGCGAGATAAAGAAATCTCGCAGGGTGGCGGTTTTATTGCCTATAGACCTGGCATTGCACAGCACCAGTGACGGAGGTGAGTAATCCTTGCTCACCCTACCCTCGTCCCTGGGGAAGGGGTGCAGATTGGAAGGGGTACGAGCGTATCCATATCTCGATCCCCTTTGCCTATAACATCTGACCCCACCGCCATACCTCCCTCGCCCCTCCACGGTAGCAATCCCAGGCCTCATAGTAGCCTCCATTGATGGCAATTAATGTTATTCTTTCGCAGCCTAGAACAATAAAACCTCAAAACAATAAAAACAAAAAACAAAAACAACCCAGAAAACAATAAAACAATACAAATAAAAACTGCAAAAATTACAAATTCATCAAAATCTAATAAATTCCCAAGCCCACCCAAACATCCATCCCACCCCCATATATAAAAAATCTAAAGGGAAAGGAAAATAGTTAATTAAAAAAACACGTTAAAAAGAACTCTGCACCCCTCCGGGTCCTCCTGGGCAGTAGCAGGATCAGTGGCAACAACTGTCCTTGTGAGGCCCCACCCGTAAGTGGCAGAACTGAGAATTCCCTCAAACCAGTGTAGAAAAGGAAGGTATCACGGCATGTCCAGTGCTCTGTCTAGCTATGGCACTAACTACTTTTTTTTTTGCCAAAATGGGTAGGTAATGACGTCTTCTCCCCATTCTGTAAAAAGCTTCAGCTGTTCATTCTGCATATCAAGCAACTTTAGAAGACAGAGACTCAACAAGGCCTGATCTCCACCCCCAACAAGTTGGCATCCATTGCATTTCCTACCCATCTGCATGGAGACCATCCCTTCTGGACATGGAGCACAATCATAGCAGCAGAATTTCTCTCCCTCCTTCTTTTTCCTGCTGTAACCAGGATAGCAGTTGTCATTGCACACAGAAAGAGGCACAACCTGTCCAGAAATGCAGCAAACGAGATTAGCATCAAGAAGCTTACATTTATCCTCCTGCCCTAAACGTGGGAATATTTTTCTTAGGTGAAAATTTGCTTCAGAGAGAAAACCCTGACTTAATTGTTTCCAGAAATTAATTCATGTAGAAGACACTGAATTGTTGGCGAGGTCAGGACTTTGAAATGTGTTGATGAGGTTGTTTACTCAGATCTACCCAGGAAATGTGGTGTACTTCAAGTGAAAGTGCAGAGCAACATTTTCCCCAGTTTGTTTTGACAAGAAGGGGGGGGGGTAGTTTGAAAATGCCACCCTTCTCAGGAGAATTAACCACTTGAGGGCAGGTAGAAAACTGAACTCACAAATATGCAACTGTTTTCCATTCTCGCGCATGTTCTAGCATCTCACCTGGTTAAAGCTTCTATGCCACACTATTTGGTCCTCATTAATGGTTAACTCTTTCCCCTGCGGAGCCAGCGGGTCCAGTCTTCCAACTTTGAGCCTAACAAAAGAACCGTTGGAGAAGGTGACCCAGTTTGTGACATCAAACTCTGCAAGTAGTTCTCTATGCTTATCAAAATGTACGCTCTCTCCAACACTGTTGTTGAACACAATCTTCCTGATAAAACGATGGAGCTTAAGTGAAAGAGAAAATGAAGCCTAGTAAGGATAAAATGGTGTTATAGATCAGGGGAGGAGGTTCCCCCTAAACCCTAGGAATGAATAAATGCTAGGATTTTGATTAACTGGGCTATGGATTAAGACACCAACTGCAGAGCTGTGGCAGACAGGGAATTCCTGGGCTGCCTGGCCAAGGAAACCATAGAGAGCCATTGAGGGCCCATTGAGGGTCATTGCCAGAGCAAGAGGACTTCTCCTCTGCCGTGGGGTGTGAAGAGAGACAGGGGTTTCTGGGAGGACGAAGGAGGGAGACGGGCTGAGATCCATCTTTGGAGGGTCTGACTGTAGGCAGGTTTGCTGCTCCCTCTTGGAATGACTTGGAATGACTAAGATTTGGACTCCCTCCAGGCAGACTTAAGGTGTAAAGAGGGGAATAAAGCATATTTCTCAAAGCCTGACAGTCTCTGCTGTGTCTTCTATTCTCCAAAGGGACACAGACCCCATGGGCTCTTGCAACCGATTGGCAGAAAGAGGGGCAGGCACCCAGCTTTTGTAGCCATATGGAAACCTCTACAGTCATCCTTTTAAAAGGTCTTTGTTTCCAGGACTGGATTGTTCTTGCTCGAGAATGTATTTGAATCCGTGACTAATTTCACTGATTCAGCATATTTCCTTGGAATTAAATCTGATTGAACTCCATGGGGTTGACTTCTGATCAGATATGCAGAGGATTGTACTTTTAATATCTGATATACACCAACACCAAATGGCATGCAACACTATGTAAAGTTTTGCTCCACTTTTCAATAAAGCATCTTTGAGGCTTTGGAAGGCATTATATAAAAGTTAATGAAATCCAAACATAAAATTCATTTTTTGTAGTGGTTCGGGTTTAGTAATAGAGTTGCATAGATCAGCACATTGTGGCATCATAGTAATAATGAAGGAGTTTGAATTCACCTCGGGAGACACACTTTATTCTTTCTCAAGCCACACAGATGCCAGCAGCAAAAGGAATGTGGATATCCCCCTGTATTATAGCTAAAGCTAAACAGTTTATCTCAGTGGTTTTCAACCCATGTGCCGTGGCACCCTGGGGTGCCTTGAATGATGGTCAGGGGTGCCACGGGCAACACTGGACTCCCTTCCTTCCTTCCTTCCTTCCTTCCTTCCTTCCTTCCTTCCTTCCCTCCTCTCAAGTCTCTGCCTCCCAAAGGTTGGGAAGCACCTCTCTTTGGGGTGGGGGCAGCTCAGAGACCAGGGATGGCAGCACCAGCTGCCCGGAGGACTCCCAAGGAGAGGGAGAGGGGGTTGAGGAAACACTGCACAAGGGAGGGGGTTGGAAAAAGGGTGAGAGGCTGCCAGCTCTGCAGGCAAGGGGTGACCCAAGTGGGCTTCAGAGCCCCACAGGGGAGCCACAGAAAGAAGGCAGTTGGTTAAGGGAGCCATGGATTTGATACAGCTGTTGATGAGTTTGTTATATTATTTATCTGTTATTTTTTAAATGTGATACTCGGCCAAAACAAAATGGACCCAGAGCAGAAAATCATGGCCTTCAGACTTCCAATTAAAAAAGACATGGAACATCATGAAAGTGGATAGTAAAGGAGAAGGGAACAAGCAAAGTTAGTTTCAGGTTACAAGTCACAAATTGTTCTAAAGAGGAACTGTGGGGGAAAAGACATATTTAAGCATCTTTTAGGGCATACCTTCCTGCTTTGAATATATTTCTCTCTGTGTGTGTTGTATTAAAGGTGTAACTACCTGCCAAGACTGCACATTACAGTCTGTTGGTCTCACTCCCTCTAGCAGTCTGCTATGTTTCCATCTGGATTCACATAGGACATGCAAAGCATGTGCCACAGCATGAGCAGCACTGTAGACATTGTAGCTGTGGCCAGTCATGCCCATTTCAAAAAGAGTACTAGGAAGACTCTCCAACTTCTCCCGGCCAGTGCAGGCTTTCTTTCCCTCCACATTCCCGTCAGATTTTTTTAATGAGCAGCTGAATGACTGCTCCCAGAAATTCTGAATGAAACCATCTCCTTTTGCCCAAGAAGGTTCAATGATCTCAAGAAGACTTTGGAATCCAAGTGGCTCCCTTGAGCGAACCGTGATGGATAGGGCACCGTGGAAGCTTTCTATATCCCAAAGCTTTTGAAGGGAGAAGGCACAGAAATCCCATTGGGATGTAACAATCCAAACTTTACCCACTGGTGGCAATTCATAAAATGTTGCGAAAAACAACAACATTCTCAAAACTGGCATGGCTGGATCTTCTCCATATACAAAACATGCACTGACTTTTCTATCTTGAAGAAGTGAGTATTTTCCCAGTTGTGCTAATACCATGTTTATCAGCTCTTCCATAAATGTCCTCTTTGCTGTTCGTAGTATGAAGGCATAGCAGATGCCATTCTGATCAAGCAATGGAACCACTGTGTGCAAAAACCTGTCCCCATTGTCATCATCCACAGCAAAGAGCCCAATCCATGTCCATCTGAAATGGTGAAGGAGCCTGACTACCCCAATGTACTGGTGGGCTTCCTTTGGGACCATCTGATATAAGGAAGAAAACAATGTTTTGTCACCCTGCACTGGGGTAAATGATCCATATGTGAGCTGAAAGGAAGGAGGGTTTTGTTGTATGGATTAAAAAAGCATAAAAATATGAGCCATTGTTGGAAAATGCTCATGCATCAATGAATATGTCTCACCTGTGGGATCTTGTAGGTGGCAAAAATGCTAGCCATGTTGGCAGAGGTTTCAGTAGCAAGTCCGCCAATGACAGCTATCAGTTTACTCTGAATATCACACTTGTAGTTGGGAACAAACCTGTGTTGTGAGGAAAGGAGGCTCAGGCTGGCTTTGTATGTCGTCCTTGCCACATAGTAGCTGTTGAGGATGTGGAAGCCCAAAGAGATGTTGGGTATGATTTGGGGATTCTCATTGATCTCTTTGACAGCAAGCAGCAAAGCCAGGATGTGCTGGTAGTTCTTAGGAACGGACCTGGAATGAGAGTTACTGTCTGTTTCATGAGGCAAAGGAAAGGCCCTTTCTTGCTTTCATCGTTACACCTCTGACTACGCTCATGGTTGAGCTGGAACTTTAAAAATTCTGAAAATGTTGGGATATAGAATACAAATTATTGCAGGATATAATCTATTAGCAGGTCCTTTTAGATGAAATATTTAGAATAGATTTCTTAAAACATTTATTCCGCTGTATGAAAAGACTGAGTAAAGAACCTAATAGATCTAGATCAGGGGTGGCTTCCCTGCCTCATGGTGCCAGGATCTAGCCCAGCATACTGTGGGATGTTGTCTGATTGGCCCCACAGATTAATCTTCCTTGCAAAGTGTGCTATCCACATCAGATCAGTGTCTCCACCTGTGTTTTGTGTGAAGAGACATGCACTACTCAATCAGGAAATTTTACTGGGATGGAAACAGTAAGAATAAAGCACAATAATAAAACTTTTCGTATTGTACAATATAATAATATGAAGTGAAACAATATTTTTAAAATATGCAAACAGATGTGAACAGAAGAGAGAGAATAAGCAGAAGGTGAGAGACAATGAAGTACTGAATGCCTGGGAATGACGTGTCCAAGACTCACGAAGGGAACAATCCCTGTGACATTGTTCTGTAAAAGCCCCACAAAGTCCGAGTTTTGTGTCGCGGAACATCCCAGTGGATTGTGCCCAACAGCCACCAACATAAAGAACACAAAATAGCTGGCAACTTCCAGTGACTGCTGGAAATATACTTTCATCATACTTAAACACAAATCTTATTACTGTAGTATCCTGTCACATAGTGATAGGATATCCTTTTAATCTGAAGGAACTCTAGAAAGGGGGGAAAGGAAGTGTTCCTTACGCAGGTTCGCCAATTGACATCTGTGTGGGCACGTCTGTGAATGAGGGACTGTCATGAAAGAGGAAGACCTGAGAAACCATCTCTCCAATGACAAAGTCACCCCGCTGATAAAATTTGTGAGGTATAGGCAGAGGGTCATCATCTAGGATGCAACTGATGGGCTGATTCTTGCAGACAGTGTAAGGAAACATTACAAACAGCAGCACTATTGCGACTAAGATCCTGATGACCAAACTGCCTCTCAAGTTGGATCTTGCCATGTTTCCATTGGATACAGTCTCAGTTTTGTTTCAGTCTTTTGTGAATGGCAGATGAACCTGATGGTACATAATTTCGAAGCTTGGCCTGTGAGATTCCCAAATGTGTGTGTCCATTTCAAACTGGCAGAAATATTTCCTCCTCACACATCCCCCCCACCCCAAATGGAAGCAGCAGGATGATGGAAATAATTGGAAAAGAGCACAGGATAAGGATGTATCTATAGGGTTAGGCAAGTATCAGTCAATACCTCCTTTTTGAGATGAAGCTTTTTATACCCAGAAACAAGGAACTGGAGATGGAAGAAACGAGGAAATAACTGAGTTTCTCACTATATAATTCTTTCATTTTAAATCACGGAAGAATGAAATGGTGAATATTAAAAGGTTAACAGAAAATAAAATACAATACAAAGTTGAAATGATCAAAGCTGAAATGGTTTTCTAACCTGGTTTTGAACAACATGTCTGGTTTTATAACACCTTTTAGAAGCTGTTATTCCAGCAATGTTTACAGTTGTTGGAGAGATAATCATCTCCCCAATGCATTGTTGGTCTATCTGGCTTTGCCACAACATGATGAAACAGCCAGGATATTTCCCCAACGCCTGCTCCTGCTTTAGGCTACTTCTGGCCACCGGCCAGGTCTGACAAAATCATTTCACATAACAAATATGGCAAGGTATGCATTAGTTGCATGAAGAATGGGCCACTGCAGCACACTCCATGTGGAGCTGCCACTGAAGAGTATGTGGAAGAAAATGCAACTGCTAGAATATTGTGGGACCAGATATTAGATTCTGTGGACTGATATTTACTTCGGTTTCACTGGCTTCTAATCACCTTCAAAGCCTTAAATTGCTGGGGTTCAGATTATATTAACATTCTTACTATTTTGGGAAACATTATGTCCCCTATGAAAATATATTCAGCAATTTTAGGTGTTGTGTTGGGAAAATATGTTAACGGTAGTTTGAGGAATACCCGGTACTTTTAAAGAGAGATGGCAGATGGTTTTCATCACTTCAAAAACTTTGCTGCTTCTCCAAGCAATGGCAGAATTGCAGAGAAGAACTCACTCCTGTTCCTCATTTGCCATGCAATAGTCCAGAGGAAATGATGTTACATTAGGGCTGTCATGCGTCCGGATTTCCCCGGACATTACTGGGATTCCAAAGGTGGAATTGACGTCTGGGGGGAATTTCCAAAAAACTAAAAAAGGTTGGCTATCATGTCTTCTCTCAGTCTCCTCTCTTCTAAGCTAAACTTCCATTCCTCATCAGGCTTGGTTTCCAGGCCTTGGTCATCTTGGCTGCCCTCCTCTGCACACCTTCCAGCTTGTCCACATCCTTCTTAAACTGTGGTGCCCAGGACTGGACACAGTATTCCAGGTGTGGTCTGACCAAGGCAGAGTAGAGTGGGACCATGACTTCCCTTGGTCAGGATAGGTTGATGCAACCCAGAAAAGCATTAGCGCTTTTTTTTGCTGCTACATCACACTGTGGACTCATGCTAAGTTTGCAGACCAATAAGACCCCTGGATCATTTTCACATGTACTAGTGAGCACTCTTTGGGTTTGGTCAGTCATCATCTAGTCCATATTTTACCAGCTTATAGGAAAGAATATTATGGGGGACTAGATAGGCTACGTCCACAGCATTCCCCTATCCACCAAGCTTGTAACTCTATTAAAAAAAAGAAATGAGATTTGTCTGGCATGACTAGTTTTTGAGAAAGCCATGCTGGGTCTTAGTAATCACAGCATCCTTTTCTAAGTGCTCCCACACCAATTACCTGTTCTAGAGTCTTTCCTGGTATCAACATCAAACTGACTAGTCGGTCGTTATTTGAGTGTTGGGTTGAAGTAACGACAGACGAGTAGCAAGTGTCATGTGAGAGGCATCTCTCGAGCAAGCCCCAAGGAGACTCTTTTATTGAATATTACAACATTGCCACAGGTGTACTCGTTGCTGATTGGTTGACACAAACACAAAGCAACTTGTTGCTGATTGGTTAACACAAGTACAAAGCAAAGGTTACATATAGGCATTAATCACCAATAGATTAAAGGCTGGGAAAGGGAGCACAGAACTAGACAGGCATGAAACCTCCTAATTAAATTATAACTAGTGATTGATATAGCAAGACTAAAACAATTACTAATGATTGATCATAACATGAAAGAATATAATAATCGCGTTCCGTAGATGTGGTCAACTATGCATTAAGAACAGATCAGAGTATAATGTTTTCATGAACTTAATATGAACTGAACATCCTAGGGAGATGAGGGAATGTCTTGGTATTTAGAACGGGTTGTGCAGCATGTGCAGAAGCAGAGAAAAGCTTAGAAGCAAGACTTCCCATCATGCCAGAGTCATGTGCAGAAGCAGAGCTTCCCTTCATTTGAGTCTTCTTTCTTCCCCCTTTTGAAGAAGGAGACAACATTTGCTCACCTCCAGCCCACAGAAACCTCACCTGTTCTCTAAGAATTCTCAAAGATCATAGACAAAGGCTCTGAAATTACATCTGTAAGCTCCTTTAGTACCCTTCTGTGCTGCTCATCAGGTCCTGGAGATTTACATTCATTTAAAGTAGCTAGCTGTTCCCTTACAACCTCTTTTCCTGTCTTGGCCTGCAGCTCCCTCCCTACATCACTTATGTTATCATGAGGTTGGGCACTGCTTTCCTTTTGGGTGAAGACAGAGACAAAGTAAATGTCAAGCAGTTCTGCCTCCTCTCTGTCACCCAATAGAATTTCTTCATCTTCTCTACCCAGAGACCTCCCACTTGCTTGTTCTTCCTCTTGCTTCAGACATAGCCGAAGACACATTTATTATTATTTCATTTATTATCATTTTTAACTTCTCTTCATCTAGTTATGAGAGTTTGTTGTTTTCTATGGCAGCCTTACTGGCATTTTATGGAGCCTTTCACTCCAGTGAACTGATGGCAAACCGCAAGAGGTCTCTGGCAGAGCACTGCTTTTTGGAGATGTGGTGATCACTCCACAGGGGTGCAATTGCATTGGAGGCAGACTGAGGCCAACCAAAGGGGCTTGGGAGCTACTGTTGAGTTGGCCAGTTGCCTACACCCCTGTCTTTCTTTGGTGGTGACATTAAGGGATATGTTGACTCAGCCCGTGGGCAATAGCCCCTTCTTAACTCATGTGGATTGCTCCCCACTTACACAGTACTGTCTTGTCTGTACTTAGGAGGGCCTGGTTGGCCATGGACAGCAACCCGAGATCTTGCAGCAGGCGCTCATTCTGAACTGGGGCAGCAACAGTTGTGGCTCAGGCCAGGTTTTCTGGCCAAGGTATTCAAGCCATTGCCTTTGGCAGTCAGCAGCCTTCAAGAGTTATGCTTGCTTATATGATCTATGGCTGTTAACGGGTTTCTTCACTTCACCTGATCTGCTGGGGCCGCTGAACCTTGCCATTATCCTATTCTTTGGCCATTCAGTTTTGTTTTGGGCCCACAAGCAAGCTTCCATGTCTGAGTTTGGGACGCAGTTGTAGTTCCCTGTCCCTGAAGTAGTACTAGTGATTATTATATTATTTATATGTCACCCATCTGACTGGGTTTCTCCAGCCACTCTGGGCAGCTTCCAGCAAGTGAAAGCATCAACTGATGCTTTTTTGGTCAGAGCTTTTGGAAAGGTGGGTCTGACAGGGGCCCCATCGCCCTAATAAGGCTGAGGGAAGGAAGATCATACATAGGATTAAAACTTGTGTTCCAGGAGATGGGAGTGCATGCATTCCCCAAAGTTGCATTAAGTTTGGCACCCCAAAGTTATATTATGTTGTTCACCTGTCTGTAGAGGATAACATTATTTTTCTGGAGGCTCTGCAAAGAGCTCTTTTTGAGCTTTTGTATCTTTGTGGGTGGAGGAGAACAAGCAGAAGCTGATCACCTCCTGTGGTGTTTGGTCCAGGTGGGTGAATTTTGGATATTTTGGGAAATATCTAACATCAGGCTGCCCAGATTGGTGTTTGGGCCTGTCAGGGACATCAGGGTGAATGTTCCCCAATGGGGCCATGGTGCACATGTCAGGTTCATCCACCCCAGGAGCACACAGTGGGGGGAGGAGTTACCTCAGGCCTTGCTGCAGGATACAGCTGGCGCAGGAGATGGGAGAGTTGGGATCCTCTTTGGCTTCGGTTGATTTGGTTGAATGATTCTGATTGCACATTCTATAGTTGTTATATTTTAATCAATGTAACCTGGAATCCATCTTTCTTGTCTCGAGTCTTCTTGGGTATGTTGGCAATTTTTATAAATATAGTTTATATTGGTGGCAGGGGGCGTGAGAGATGTACTACTCAAGCACACCACTTTGGTTTCTCTTAAGCTTGCTGTGATTTATCTATTTGGCCAAGCCTTTGGTAGGTAAGTAATTATCATGATCACCATCATCATTAAAATTTGTATACCACCTTTCATTCGTAGCTCTCAGGGCAGTTCACAACATAAAAATGCAAGATAACAAACACAGAATACACAATAAAACCAAGAACAAAAGCAAACCCATAAGGGCCTTCTCCCCACCCCCTCCCATGACACACTATTTTATTCTATTGTATTTACATGTTACATGTTTCAGTGGTTAATGCTCAGACTGTTGACGTGAGCGAAGGCTGTGGGTGTGGTTGCATGTGTGGGCATAGGGGCATCCATTGGGAACCTTGTTGAGGAAACCCCAACTATTTTAATGTAGATTAAATGGAATGAAGAGAGGCAAGTGTCAGGGATGAGAGGCTCAGGCACAGAGAGCCAGCTTTTGATGGGAAGAGACTCTCCCTTTTCTTTTCACTTGAGCTAATTCAAACTAAATATGGAAACCAGCAAAGCCCATTGCTATCTCAGTTCAGCAAGGGAGCACCACAACTGGAAAGAGTTTTCACTTGCACAGTTAGTATCCCTTTGAGGATTATACACTGTATGTTAAAGGGATAAAGGTTTATTTCATACATGAAAACATATGAAAAAAAGGGGGGGGAGGAAGACCCAGGTAATTACTGACTGGTGAGCTTGACATCAATGCCAGGGAAGGTCCTAGAACAGGTAATTCAACAGTTGGTCTGTGAGCATTTAGAAAAGGAAGGTTGGAAGAAATTTAAAGACTATTTACAGAAATATTGTAAAATTTATGAATGTTAGAATGAAGTTGGATAGAAATTAAGTGGTTTTTAGCTGCAATACTATAAGGGAATATGAAAAATGGATTACTAACAGGTAAAAATTTAATGTTACAATATTTTAAGATTAAAGATTAGGATAAACAAAGAGGGAAAGGATTTGCTGAACCAACAAACCGAACTGGAATACAAAAAAGGGAGGCGTGAGGAGGTCCGGGAAACAAGCTAATGAAAAATAAGTAATGGAAAGATTGAGTTGTTTTTAACTATTTTTATTTTGTATTTTTCTTTTTTCTATTTTTATTTTGTAATATCTTGAAAATCTTAATAAATATCTTATAAAAAAAAAATAGAAAAGGATGCTGTGATTCCTAAGACCCAGCATGGGTTTCTCAAAAATAAGTCATGGCAGGCCAATCTCATTTCTTTATCTGAAGGAATTAGAAACTTGGTGAATAAGGGAAATGCTGTGGACGTAGTGCATCTTGATTTCAGTAAGGCTCTTGACGAAGTCCCCCGTGATATTCTCGTGAGGAAGCTGGTAAAATGTGGGTTGAATGAGGTAACTGTTAGGTGGATTTGTAGCTGGTTGACTGACCGAACCCAAACCCGACTCATTAATGGTTCCTCGTCAGCCTAGAAAAATAGTGATAAGTGGGTTGCTACAGGTTTCTGTCCTGGGCCTGTTGTTGTTCAACTTCTTTATAAATGACTTGGATGAAGGAATTGAAGGGAGGCTCATCAAATTTGCAGATGACACCAAGCTGGGAGGGGTAGCTAATGCCGCAGATCAGAATTCAAAATAACCTGAACAGATTGGAGAACTCAGCACAAGCTAACAAGATGAATTTCAACATTGACAAATGCCAGGTTCTGCATTTAGGCAGGAAGAATCAGATGCACAAATATAGGATGGGGAACACCTGGCTTACTAGCAGTACATGTGAAAAGGATCTAGGGGTCTTGGTGGACCACAAGCTTCACATGAAGCAGCAAAAACTTATAAGCTTAAATTCTTTACTTTTCTCTCCTTGTCAAATGTTCCTTGTTGTTCAGCTCAGGTCTTAAGATAATGATGTAGCATTTGGGGGAAAAAATGCAACCCAGCAATCCAGCACTGGAGCATAAGATGGAGAAGATCTCCACAGCCACCATGTATTTCCCTTTGGTGCTCAGGTATGTTGGAATAAAGGACAGCCACACACTGCAAAACACCAACATGCTGAAAGTGATGAACTTGGCTTCATTGAAACTGCCAGGCAACTTTCTGGCAAAGTAAGCCACTGTGAAACTGGCAATGCCCAGGAAGCCCATGTATCCCAAGACCCAGTAAAACATGGAGGCTGATCCCTCATTACATTGCATGATGATTTCCTCTTTGAGTGAGTTCATGTCCTCATCTGGGAACGGAGGAGAAGTAATCAGCCAAACCATGCAAATGTTTGCTTGAATAAATAAACCAGAAAGGACAATGGAATTGGCCAGTCCTTTCCCCACCCATTGTCTCATTCTGGATCCTGGTTTTGTGGCCATGAATGCCAGAACCACCGTGATGGTTTTTGCCAAAACAGAGGAAAGGGACAGAGAGAAGATCATGCCAAAAGCCGTTTGTCGGAGAAGGCAGGTTGCCTTTCCAGGCTGTCCAATGAAGAGGAAGGAGCAGAGGAAGCAAAGCAGGAGGGAAATGAGGAGAACGTAGGTGAGGGTCCGGTTGTTGGCTTTGACTACGGGAGTGTCCCTGTGCTTCATGAAAATCCCAAGTACTGAGGTTGTAATCAAAGAGAAAGAAACAACCAAGATGGCCAGAGTGATTCCTAGAGGTTCTTTATAGGAGAGGTAGCTGGACACCTTGGGAATGCACTGATTTTGGTCATTATTTGGGTACTCCTCTTCCGGACATTTGACACAGGCAGCCATGTCTGAAAAGAAGAAAGCGCTATTAAAACATTTTAAGACTTAGACTTGTTTATTAACTGAATTTGAACACAGGAAAATGGTCACATGTAGGACTGAGACTAAAGTATTCAGAATACATCCATGAATGTTCCAGACCAGATTTGACAAGACATTGCCTAAGATTCTCCCCATCTGATATGGGAAGAATAAAATTCTGATAAGCAGAAATAGAAGCAGTAACACAATCACAAAAAGGAGGAAGTTTTGTTGTTGTTTCTATTCGAAAGCTACTTCTTCCCCAGCAGGGGATGGTCCTGCAAAATTTATATTAATAGTTGCTCCCAGACTTTGATGGTTCCCTCCTAGACCCTCTGCCGGGGGGTGAACACTTTTTTATTCTTACAAGCCTTTGGGAAATGACAGGGATTTTTTTGTTTTTGTTTCTTTAACAAATTGCTGTTAATAGTGCTGTGCTGTTTTGTTTTTATGATCTGTATTTTAATAGAATTGCAGTTCAATTATTTGCAATGATTTTTAAAATATGATTTTAGCTCTTTGCATTTTATCTGTCTTGTTTTCATTTGTGTAAACTGCCTTTAGTCCCAATCTGGGGGGTGGGGGAGGATATTAATAATAAATAATTAAAATAATAAAAAGAAAAACAGCAAAGAGCCTGTTTGCTCCTCCAAATGGCTAAAATTTAAATATATAAATATAATTACCTCATGAATTTATGAAGAATTTGAAGGGTTCCCTTCTGTATTTCATAATAGCTGCCATGGTTCCTGATGTTCTGATTCCAAAGGTTGTGGATGAAACTAAAATATGCATTTGTCTCATGTGACTTTGGCCTGATCCATGAAGATGGCATGCTCACCCCTCCTGCTCAGTCCATTAAGGAATTTTTGTAATGCCTACCCATATAGATTAGCAGTTACAATTCTGATTTCAAAGCCCTATCTATTGGAGTGTTTGGGAGAATTAAGAATTCCCCATTGTAGAAAAGGAACATCTCAGAGGCAGTCCATCATTCTGTTTAGCTGTGTCACCAACAACAGTTTGCAGAAACTGGCAGCTAAAGGCATCTAACTCCCCATGCTGCATAAAAAGCTTTGTTTTCTCATTCTGCACACCAGAGTGTTTTAAAAACAGACGCCAAAAAAGGCTAGATTATTTTTTTCTGCCCATTTCCCCAGTTACTATACATTATTTTCTTACCCATCTGGTGAGAGATCATCCCTTCAGGACATGGAGCACAATCATAGCAACAAAATTTCTCCCCTTCCTTCTTTTTCCTGCTGTAGCCAGGATAGCAGTAGTCATTGCACACAGAAAGGGGCACCACCTGTCCAAAAACATAAAACTGAGATCAACATCATTTGCCAACACACCTGGAAGAAGACTCAAGAGACTCCACCATGGTGGAAATGTCTATATTAGATATAAGGGCTGGCAATCCGATAAGCAAGTTATTTAAGTATAGGCAGGTGTTTTGAAGGAGTGAAGCACCTTCCAGCCCTAGGCATGTAACAGACACATTCTGCCACACAAGAATCATCTCCCTTCTTGCTAAGCGAGTCTTACATCTGTGAACCCTACATACACACACAGCCCCCACTATTCAGCATTCACAATCCAGGACTAGGGAGTAGCCCCAAGGGACCCCCAAAGGCTGCGGAAGGTGACTCTAGAGTAGCCCTAGACAAATATTGCCTCAGGGAGCCTATCGATTAAGAAGAAGAGTTTGGATTTGATATCCCGCCTTTCACTCCCTTTAAGGAGTCTCAAAGCGGCTAACATTCTCCTTCCCCTTCCTCCCCCACAACAAACACTCTGTGAGGTGAGTGGGGCTGAGAGACTTCAGAGAAGTGTGACTGGCCCAAGGTCACCCAGCAGCTGCAGGTGGAGGAGCGGAGACGCGAACCCGGTTCCCCAGATTACCAGACTACCGCTCTTAACCACTACACCACACTGGCTCTCACTTTAAATTTAGATTAAGCACTTAAATTCCCTACCTGAATGTCAAAACAAAAAAGTAAATACACAAAAAGCCAATCAAAGACCCTTACAGTGTAGAGCAGGCAAAAGGGAGGGATCCCAATGGCCGATGGCAGCATCTCTTGACAATTCCCACTCTGCCCCCATAAAGGGAGACCAGTAAGAAAAACCCACCCTGGAGAGAGAGGTTGGATGGGCACTGGAAGTGATCAGGAGAAGATCGAGAGGATAAAGCTGCCCACCAAGATCCCCAGACACACACACAACCTCTGGGGAGAGACCAGCTGGTGTCTTCTCACAAAAATGGGGTGTGTTTGTGGGTGGGGGGCAAATTTGCCCCCACTAGGAGCAGAGGAGCATTTTTAATTTTTCTCTTCATGACCAAAATTTCTAACTTTTTTATTAAAGTTTATTTAGAAAGAAAGCAGAATTTGTTTTTGCTTTTTGCTTTGTTTTCAATAATCAGTTCATGAAATAGCAGGTATTTTGAGCAGCCTCAGTTCAGGAGTGGTCTCCTAAGCATTGCTATTGGCCATAAAAGAAAATACTCAATTTTTGGAGAGGTCAGGACTGCTTAGATGAATTTGTTCTGGGAATGTGATCTATGTTGCATGAGGCTGTCTTATAGTCTGGTCTTTTGATCAGCCAGAACTCACCAGAACTCAGTTCTGGCACTGCCCAGGTGGGCCCCATTGCCCCTCAAAGAGAACAGGGTGAGTTCAGGGTGAGTTCCAGTGCCTCTTTTTCTAGAAAAACAGCACTGGTTGTAGTACCTACTCACTACCCACAGCTGGTTTACCAAGAAGGAAAGAAACTGTAGTTTAAAAACGCAATGCTACTCAGAATAATTCAGCACCTGAAGGCAATAAGAAACCTAGATGCTAAAAATGGAATGATTACCAGTTATTTCATACATTCCAGCATCTGCAGCTTCATCTCACCTGGTTAAAACTTCTATGCCACTCGATTTGCTCATCATTAATTGTTAACTCTTTGCCTGAAGGATCCCGAGGAGCCAATCTTCCAACTTTTACTCTAACGAAAGAGCTGTTGGGGAACGTGACCCAGTTTGTAACATCAAAATCTGCAATCAGTTCTCCATTTTCATCAAAAGCTACACTCTCGCCAACGCTGTTGTTGAACAAGATGCTCCCTATATAGTTATGCAGCTTGAGTGAATGAGAAAATGAAACACAATGGGAATAAAAGGTTAAAAGCTCTGCAATGAAATGGGCACATGTCTAGCTTCCCTAACTCTGGATTGTTCTTGACCAAGGTTGTATCTGGAGCCATCTTCTGAGGCTTCTTCTCTCACCCCGACCCCCTCCACACCCACTGGAACAGTAAGGAACGGAGTATGGAAACCCCCTTCCCATGTTCCATGGCTTATCATGAGTTTGTACTATATTACCAAAGTCATAGTGAGTAACCACAATGTAGGGCTAGGAAGAAGCAGTGATTCAGCCAAAGACCTGTGAAACTGACGCAGTAATTTGAGGAGAAATGGCCCTGTGAAGTTGTCTTAAAAATACAGTGGTACCCCGCAAGACGAACGCCTCGCAAGACGGAAAACCCGCTAGACGAAAGGGTTTTCCGTTTTGGAGGCGCTTCGCAAAACGAATTTCCCTATGGGCTTGCTTCGCAAGACGACAGCCCATAGGGAAATCTCAGGGACAGCGGGGAAGCGCAGCGCGTCTTCCCCACTGTCCTCGGACCTCCTCCGAAGCCTGGCGGCGGGGCGGGGACACCTCCTCCCGCCGCCGCCGGGCTTCGGAAGGCTCCTCCGGGCCGGGCGGGGGGAGGGAACACCTGCCGCCGCCCGGCTCGGAACGTGCCCGGCCGGGCGGGGGAGGACCTGCCGCTGCCCGGCCGAACGGTCCGGCCGGGCGGGGGGAGGGAAGACCTTCTGAAGGCGGGCGGGGGCGAAAGTCTTTGCTCCCCCTGCCTGCCTGTCCCGGAGGGCTTTTGAAGGCGGGGAGCAAGACTTTCGCCCCGCCCGCCTTCAGAAGAGGTCCAGGACCTCTTCTGAAGGCTGGCGGGGGCAAAGTCTTTGTCCCCCTGCCTGCCTTCCCAGGGGCTTTAAATTGCCCCGGACAGCGGAGAAGTCCTCCGCTGTCCCGGGGTGATTTTAAATGCCGCCCGCCAGCATTTTAAGATCGCCCGGACAGCGGAGAAGTCCTCCGCTGTCCCGGGTTTTTAAAATGCTGGGGGTGGGAAGAAAAGCCCTTGCCTCCCCAGCCTTCAGAAGAGGTCCGGGACAGACTGTCCCCGGACCTGGTCTGAAGGCGGTTCCCTAGGAACGCATTAATTGATTTTCAATGCATTCCTATGGGAAACCGTGCATCGCAAGACGAAAAACTCGCAAGACGAAGAGACTTGCGGAACGAATTAATTTCGTCTTGCGAGGCACCACTGTAAATAAAATAAAGCATCATTGAGGTGTTGTTGTTGTTTTTGCAAGACATTATCTGAAGACAGTTAAGAGATGAAATCCCAGCATAAAACAATGCTTTCATATTACGTCACATTTAGCAACAGAGTTATATTTGATGGCTCACTGTGACTTGATATTAACAGGTATATTGTTTCTTAGTACTGCCATTCTAAGGAGAGATATTTTAACTGTCCTGTCCATTTAGACCAGTGTCCTGCTTCCCACAATGGTATCTGGGTGCATCACAAAACCCCTGAGCATGTTTTGAGGTCAATAAACTTTTTCTGTTTTTTGTCTCTGCACCCTCAGGATATTCAGAAATCCCAAAATGTTTGGTGCCACTCTGTGAGGGACCCAGAAGACCATGCTTTGCTCACAGATATGTATTCCCCATCCATCTCCACTGCCTGTATCCACTCCTCTTGGATTTTCAGAGGAGAAGATATAGAAGCTGCCAGGCTCTGGAACAAAGACACGCGAAGCTATCCAGAGTCAAGCCACAAGGAACTTCAGTCTACAACAGTCCAGGATTTATATTTTGCCATCCTGATGGCAAAATACAGGGTGTTTCTAAAGTCCTTGTGCAACTTTAAATGTTAATAGAGTGGCAAGGTGTGCCACCTTGCTGAAAGAAGGTGCTACTACGATGTTGGTTGCTTAGTTTCAACAATTATTTCTTAAGAAATATAATATCCCAATGTTCTTCCAAAAATGGCTTTTTCAGCAGCTTACCAAAAGACAGCTGTGGTCTTTAGGCTTACAGTGTAAAAGAGATATGATGCAAAAGGAAAGTAGATTTGGAAGAAGGAGGAAATAAGAAAACTCAGATTCAAGTTAAAGGTTTCCTAATGATTAGGCAAGATCAAGAAAGTTTAAGGATATACTCAAATATATTTTATGGCATGCTTGAAAGTTTTGAAAAATAGACTTTTGCTTTCAATGTGCAATTACCTGCCATGGCTGCAAACTTTGAAATGTCAGCCTCCCTCCTTCCATTAAACGACTAGGCTTGGGACTGGATTCACGTAGGACATGCAAAGCATGTGCCACAGCATAAGCAGCATTGTAGACATTGTAGCTGTGGCCAGTCATGCCCATTTCAAAAAGAGTACTAGGAAGACTCTCCAACTTCTCCCGGCAAGTGCAGGCTTTCTTTCCCTCCACATTCCCATCAGATTTTTTTAATGAGCAGCTGAAAGACTGCTCCCAGAAATTCTGAATGAAACCATCTCCTTTTGCCCAAGAAGGTTCAATGATCTCAAGAAGACTTTGCAATCCAAGTGGCTCCCTTGAGCGAACCGTGATGGATAGAGCACCATGGAAGGTTTCCATTTCCCAAAGCTTTTGAAGGGAGAAGGCACAGAAATCCCACTGGGATGTAACAATCCAGACTTTACCCACGGGTGGCAATGATTTTATTACTGCAAAAAAGAAAAACATTCTCAAAACACCCATGGCTGGAGGTTCTCCATATACAAAACATGCACTGACTTTTCTGTCTTGAAGAATTGAGTATTTTCCCAGTTGTGCAAATATAATGTTCATCAGCTCTTCCATAAATGTCCTCTTTGCTGTTCGTAGTATGAAGGCACAGCAGATGCCATTCTGATCAAGCAATGGAACCACTGTGTGCAAAAACCTGTCCCCATTGTCATCATCCACAGCAAAGAGCCCAATCCATGTCCATTTGAAATGGTGAAGGAGCCTGACTACCCCAATGTACTGGTGGGCTTCCTTTGGGACCATCTGATATAAGGAAGAAAACAATGTTTTGTCATCCTGCACTGGGGTAAATGATCCATATGTGAGCTGAAAGGAAGGAGGGTGTGTTGTATGGATTAAAAGAATGCAAAAATATGAGCCATTGTTGGAAAATGCCCATAAATCAATGAATATGTCTCACCTGTGGGATCTTGTAGGTGGCAAAAATGCTAGCCATGTTGGCAGAGGTTTCAGTAGCAAGTCCGCCAATGACAGCTATCAGTTTACTCTGAATATCACACTTGTAGTTGGGAACAAACCTGTGTTGTGTGGAAAGGAGGCTCAGGCTGGCTTTGTATGTCGTCCTTGCCACATAGTAGCTGTTGAGGATGTGGAAGCCCAAAGAGATGTTGGGTAGGATTTGGGGATTCTCATTGATCTCTTTGACAGCAAGCAGCAAAGCCAGGATGTGCTGGTAGTTCTTAGGAACGGACCTGGAATGAGAGTTACTGTCTGTTTCATGAGGCAAAGGAAAGGCCCTTTCTTGCTTTCATCGTTACACCTCTGACTATGCTCATGGTTGAGCTGGAACTTTAAAAAGTCTGAAAATGTTGGGATATAGAATATAGTTATTGCAGGATATAATCTATTAGCAGGTCCTTTTAGATGAAATATAAAAGAAGATTTCTTAAAACACTTTTTCCTCTGTATGAAAAGATTCTGAGTAAAGAGTCATTGCCTACTACATTACGGGGAACTAATACAGTAGATCTAGACCAGGGGTGGCTAACCTGCATCATGGTGCCAGGATCTAGCCCAGCATACTGTGGGATGTTGTCTGAAAGGCAAAGGCATATCTTGATTACAGCATCACACCACCAACTACTTTCATGATTGAGCTGAAGTTTAAAACATTATGAAGACATGAAGATAAGGGTTAGATAGGGAAAGGATTAACGAAATATGGAAATAAGTGTCTGAAAATGGTTGTAGCTCCATGGTAGAGAATATGCTCTGCAACGTAGAATTTGCTTTCCATATCAGGCCAGCGTTTCTGCCTCCATTCTGTGTGACTGGACCTGCACTCAGTCAGGGAACATTGCTGGGGTGAAAACTACAAAATACTAGCTGAGAGTAGCTGAGACTCCTGCCTTGCAGGGAGGTTGGAATAGATGACCATTGGGTCCCTTCCAGCTGTAAGATTCTATGATTCTCATATATTACATTATTGTACAATATACACTTATGAAATGAATCATTTCTTTTTAAAAAAACACCCATATGGACTGATGTGAATGGAAGAGATAGCTGAAGCTAAAGGCAAGAGTCAACTAATGGTTGACTGGCGTCTCAAAGACTCACTAAGGTCACGATTCACTGTTGTCTTGTTCTAGAGATATCTCAGAAGCTCCATTCACATCCATCAGCCTTGGGCACGAAATATTCTCATAAGAGGCAGGCAGAATAATTGTTCAGCACTCGTAACTGCTGGAATACAGCTTTCCTCACACTGAAAAGTGAATCTTACTAATGAAGCATCAAACCACATTATAGTCTAAGGTAACAGAAGACATGGGCGAAATAAAGGGTTCCTTACACAGGTTCACCAATGGACATCTGCGTGGGCACTTCTGTGAACGAGGGACTGTCTTGAAAGAGGAAGACCTGAGAAACAATCTCTCCAATGACAAAATCACCCGGCTGATAATATTTGTGAGGTATAGGCAGAGGATCGTCATATATGCTGCAATTAATAGAATGCACCTTGCCCACCCTATAAGGGAGCATCACAAGAAGCAGCACGATTGCTGCTGTGATCCTGGAAAGCAAATGTGTCCTCAGGACGGAGACGACCACAGTTTGCATGAGTTTCGTTGCAGGCTTTCATGAATGGCGGAGGACTCAGCATGTACAGATTGAAAGCCTGGTCTCCACACCGAGACCCTTTCAAATGGGCAAAAATGTTCCAATCCCCGCCTTGCAAAATATGGAAGTAGCAGAAGAATGATCCGTATGAAAAGTATTACAAAACACTAGTCCAAAATAACATGGGGGGCACTAAGGTGTACGTGCCTAGATTGGAGATGTGTTATCTCCAAACTGGATGGTTAGCTGCAAAAAAAGAAGGAATGGGGCACATGATTACTCACTGCACAGTCTTTTTGTTTTAGATCATAGCAGAATCAGCTGGCCAAAGCACACCCTAACATATAAGGGAGAAATGATTGGGCAAAAGACTGAGCACTTTGTAACCCCAGCACCATTTATGAACAACATGCGGAGTTTATAATATTTCCACATGCTGTTATTGTTGATCTTGCTAGTGGACTCTGGAAATCTATTGAGATTCAGGAAGGAAAGCAATAATCTTGTCAGTGATTTGTGAGATAATCACATCCCCAGTGGATTGGTAACTTTTGAGGTGTCACAATAACACGACAAAACAGTTTATATGCCCATTAACAAAAAACCACAACCCTACAAGTGTTGTTTTCTCCTTTGAAGAGGACGTGGCATGGCCTGGTAGATGCAGCCTACCTCTGGCCAAGGAGAGAGTGGAATCAGTCACAGGCAAAATCATGTGTATTTCATATACAAATATAGTCCTGGTGAGACATGACTTGGTTACATCAGGACTGATCTGTTGCAATACAGGCTGTGTGGGCTGCCAGTTAATTATGTTTGGAAAGTCAACTGGTATAATAATATTACAGAGCTAGAATGTTGAATAGAACCAGAAACTGAAGTTGGGTGACTCAGTCTTTGCAACAGTTTCCCGAACTTCTGATCTTAAGTGGTTTAGAATCACTTAAATTGTGGCCAGTCTTCAAGCAGACTGATACATCAATGTGAGCTTCTTCCATCTAGTATGGTGAAACCAGCATTAAAATGGATAATCTCCTTGTACTCCACATTCACTACTATCCTTTGGGAGGCTAGATTGCAATACATAGAGCATGCCCCAATTTCCAGGTGGCCATACAAAATAAAATCCAGCATTTATAAAATAATATGCCAGTGGAAAGTTAGTCTAGAATTGTGCCCTTGATATGTGAATTTATCTGTGGATTATCCCCCATCCAGTGGGCGACGAGCATAAAACAGCCTATATGGAGTTTGAAATGTTATAAACCAAAACTTCATTTTACCACTTTGGCCTGCTAACCCTGTCATGGTCTGTTATAATTTATTTCCCTCTGAATTATTTTTATGAATTATTACAAATCAAACCAAATTAATTTAATTTAATACAATTTCTTAAGATCAGGTTTCCCACTCCTGTTCCAAACGTATGATCATCATCATTTCCTCACATTGCTGCATCATTTCTTACTTAGAGTCCAGTTGACACCCTTCACTTGCTATTAAACCATTCTTCCAGCTGGCCGCTTTTTTCAACCTACAAACAGCATCTCTGTTACATCTTATAAAAAAGCAATCCCTTTGACGTATGTCTAGTCCTTCATATACATTGTGGTTCCAGGCCTTGTGTGCAGGGAGAGTTAATTACTATCTTCCACTGTTCAATTATTTGCAGAGTTTATATGGATGGTATAATGTTTACCGATCAGCGTACGAGCTGCAGCCATAAATAACTCACAGAATGCATATGCAAATGCCATTAAAATTCTGCTCTGGAGTTCTTCCTCAGCACATAGTTAAAACAAACTCTTTTCTCAAATTCAGCCTCTTTGCCACATCTGGTTGGCAGCAGTTCATCCCCCCCCCCGCATTCAACAGCAGTCCAGGAATAATTTTAAATAAAGTCCGTTCAGCTTTGGTCGAGGGGGCGGGGCATAGCAAAACCTTGTTAAATTCCTTGCTGAGCATAAATCAAAGGCCTCCCCCCTCTTTTCCACAGTAACCAACAGAATAACATAGCAGCGGCTACACACGTCCTTTTCCTTATCCAGGGGAAGACAGGAAAAAAGGAGACCATTTGAAAAGCATAAGAAAGCAGCAAGCACCTTGTCCTCCTCTTCCTTTCCCGGCTGTTGTGAGGATACTCAGGCTTCAAATAAAACATTCAGATACCTCAAAAAGCCAAGCCCAGTCCTTTCGGCCGCTGACTGATTGCAGCCCATTCACATCTGTCGGTCCCGGAGCGCCTCTTGCTTAATGCCAATTGTCCGAATTATGCAGGAACCAACCACAAATCATGTCGGAGATGGAGGGACACGCTCCCAGGTCGCACCCACTCTGCCTTTTAGGTTGGAAGACATGGGCTTGAGCGGCACAGCGGGATGCAGTGAGTTCCCCAGGCCCCACTGGGGAACATTGCCAGGATTTTTGCCTCATAAATCCTGGCTTTCCCCTGCCTGAACCTCCTTGCTGCCCGCCATTGAGTTCGTGACATGACCAGAAACCCATGGTCTGTTTCTCCACACCACTCTTTCTTCTAGGAAGATGAACAGGGCAGCGCATGTGAACCTCTTTTTTTTTTTTTAATAATATTTATTGCTTTTAAAAGTTACAAAAAAGTAGAAGAAAGAGAGAAAAGACAAAAAAGAAAAAAGAAAAAAAGACAAGAAAAAAGAAAAAGAAAAACAATACAATATATAAACAATACAAACCCACCCTAAACCCATTAAACTAAACAAAGCAAGACAAAAACAATTTAAAAACATCTCTCCTTTTCCATACTCTGTCCTTCATTCCCTTGTTTCCTCGACTTCCTCACACCTCCCTTCTTGTATCCCACTTCTAGTACTTGTTTCAGCAAATCCTTTCCATCTTTCTCTATTTTCTGTCATATTATAAATAACATATTCTTTAACCTTATTTCCCATTAAAGGTAAATTACTTATATACACCCAACTTCTTATAGCATTTCTGCTAAATCCATAAAATATCATTCCACCATTTTTCTAACAGTCATTACTTTAACAAAATTTCTAAATAAACACTTTAAATTTTCCAATAATCTTCCACTATCTCCTCTCCCTGGCTTCAGATTCTGCCAGTCCTTTCCGTCAGTTCCATATAATCCATCAACCTGGTGTACTTATATCCGAGGCTCTTAAATCTCTTCCAAGTCCCTTCTGCAGGTCTTCTTCATATTCTTTGATGCTCAGGAGCAAATCTCGGGAAAACTCCAGCCTAGCAATACTTTTGTTCCTTCTGGACAGTTCAGCCAAATTTCCAAAGTTTCCAAAGTTAAAAATAAAGTCCATAGAGTGTTTCAGAACGTATTTCAAGATTCCTCCAATTCTAGCGACCCCCAAAACTTCAAGCTCCTCCAAACCCAAGTCCATGTCCCAAAAGTCAGTCAATCCCTGGATAGAGGGTTCTTTCCAATTTTCCTTCTTCAATCCAAGCCGGGATCCTAGCCTCAAAATTTGACTTTTGCTAGATTCAGTCATGAAAGACCTCAATTTATAATCCTCAATTTGCTTCTGAGAAATTAAGGATCCCGCTTGTACTACTTTTAGTTTCACATCATCAGCTTTCTCCTTTTTCTCCATCATTTTCACATCATCCTGGATTGTTTCTGTATTGACACTCACTTTTTGACTCAAATTAATCACGTTCTGTTCCAAGTTGTCAATTTTAGAGATCGTATCATCTGTCTTTTTATGGAGCTGTTCCAGCGAGTAGTTTATCTTGTATAATACAGTCACAATAGCTTCTCCTATCAACATTTTGAATAGTCCAAGGTCAGACTCTAGTTTTCAGAATCTTATCTTGCAGCTGGAGATCTCCCTGTTGCACTCCTGTAACAGTTTCACATGCTCCCTCTAGAGGGAAACAGTCTCCGTTTGTATCAATTCTTTCAAGCACGACTCAAGCAAATAACAATAGTTTCAATTTTTGGTTACTTTTTCCTCCATTTTTAA